CAGATCAGTCCCATTCTGGCCTCCCCCCCTGTCGGTCTGGGGTCCAAGAGCACTCCCCTGTTCAGATCTAAACTGCCACACAGCTATCTTAGTTCTTCATCAAGTAGGTCTATCAATGAGGTCATTTTAATGTTGGATTGGTTATTTTCTTAGTACCTGTGACAAAATGTCTGACAGGACAACTTTAAGAAAGAGAAGTTAATTTGGGCTCATAGTTTAGATAATAAAGTCCATCATGATTGGGGAAATTGTGGTGGCTTGCTCTGGGGCTGTGGGACCTTGTGTCTGCTTGTTAAGTCTTAGAGGCTCAGAACTAGTGGTAGACATCCTTAAAAACCCTCCTGTGTCAAACAAGATCATCCAGCTAGGTCCCATGTTCCAAAGGTCCCATGACCTCCTTAAAACAGCATCACTGTCTCTGACCAAGTGTTCAAAGGCACAAACCTGTGGGGAGGACGTTAGACATGCAAACCATAGCAAGGGTCCTCATGACATGGCCGCTAGCTTCCTCCAGAGCAAGTTACCCCAAAGAAGAAATTGTGATGCTTTTTACCATCTAATCTTGGGAGTCGCACACCATTCCTGCTTCATCATTTTACTTGTTAGAATCAAGATACTAAGTACAGCCCACATTAAAGAGAAAGAAAATTGATCCTGGTTTCCTGAGGAGACACATTCTACATTGGTTACTTGTCTCATTGTTATGACCAAACACTAACAAAAGCAGCTTAAGGAAGGAAGAATTTATTTTGGTTCCTGGTTCCTGGTTACACTCCATCTTGGAGGGGATGTAACTGTGGAAGGAGCTTGAGGCTGCTGGGCATGCTGCATTAGCAGTCAGGAAACAGGAAGCCATGAATTCCTGTGACTACCACACATTCTTTATATTCAATTCAGGGCCCAAACCCATTGACTGGTACTGCCCACATTTAGGGCAGGCAGACTGGCACACAGAACAGGTGGACTTAAGCCACAACATTGGGTGTTCCTTTAGATTTGAGGTGAGTTACGAATGTGGGCTTCCTCTCCAGGCTTTCTGCAGCTTCATAAGGCTCAAACTGACACTTGACTCTGGGAACACACCCTTCATCTTTGACGGAAGTTTCCTAGCCTGTGAAAAGTTACAGAGTGTTGAGAACAGAAAAGGGAACTTGAACCAATCCCAGCTTTGTAGGATCTGGATAGAGTCATCTGCCTTGTCTGTTCCTGCTGCAGCACTAAAATTTGACATCTCTGATTCTTTTCAAACACGAGTTGCTGCAGTCCTCTGCTCAGTTCCTCCATGCTGCTGTCACAAATCTCACATTGAAACCATGCCCAGTGCCCACTGACCTTCAGCATATCACCTTCTCATCAAAGCTGAATGTCATTCACCTCTTGACTCTTTTGCTGTATGTTTGGACTATGTGGCATTCAACATTCTTGGTCTCAGTTCTCTTCAGTACTTACCTCTCTGTCTTTATCTCTCATTTCCTTTGACGCACTCACCTTCCTTCATTCCTATAGTGAATTCAGTTGGCACGAGAGCGGGTTCAGAATTTCCCTCTAGAATGACTCTCATCTTGTCCTTGCTTTTTAATCTCAGAGTGATATTCCTAAAATAAAGGGGAAAATCACCTTCCTATGGCTGGGTGAACTGGCACATACCCTGGATCTCAAAACTCAGAAGGCAGAGGCAGGTGGACCCCTGTGATTGGAGTCTTACTCCTGGATAAGGTGATGTAGAATAAGATACTGGGACAACTCACAGCCATTATCAGGAATCTGGGGGAAATTCTCAGCCATTATGAGGAATATGAAGAAACCCCAGTGCAATATTTTATTTTTTATCTATTTGTTTTGTAATCTGGAACTCTTAATCCTCTTGCCTCAGACTCTCAAGTGTTAGGACTACAGGCATGCATTACCACACTGAGCTGCAGGGTTGCAGTGATTCTTAGCTGAATTTTGAGGTGGTCTAGTTGCTGGTTCCATGCTGAACTTGAGCAAGCCTCCAGTCTCATGCCCAATTCTTATTTCTATTCTGGTTTCTTAACCATTGCTCCCAGATATTCCTGATGCCTACATTCATGTTCCAGAGATTTTTAACATTCATCTTGTTACAGTGAAGAGTATTTCCTTTAAATGTAGCTTATTGGGAGGGCTGGGGTAGTACCTAGGATTCTGCATTTCTGAAACTGTATTTATTTATTTTATTTTGTATGTGTGTGAGCATGCACCAGAATTAATGAACTACACAGTATGGAGGTCAGAGGACAATTCTCTGGAGTCTGTTCTCTCCTGCCACCTTGTGGGATTCAGCAATCAAAGTCAAGTTGCTATGTAGGCCTAACCAAATGCCTCAACCATTTGAGCCATGCCCCCTTAAATTCCTCAGCCCACACTGCTGGCTTAAGGAATTGCTCTTAGGTAGCAAGAACCCATAGCAACAATGTAAACTCTTAAACATGTTCCCTTTCTTACTCCCTCAGCAGAAGGGACACAATAAATACTGTCATGTTGACATGATCTCTAGAGCTGGTTACCTCATTAGCACCTAGTACAGCAAAGGCCTGGAATCCCCTGCAGACCTAAATGAAAAATAATGATTCCCGGGCTCTGGCATTGAAGATTTAAAATGAGTGCATATAGGATAGGGTCTCGGAAGTTCTATTTTAGCAATGCACCCTGACAATTTTGCTAATTAAATTGTTTGTTAATTATGTGTCTGTGTGTGGGTATGCCCATTCTGATGTAGGTACTTACAGAAGACAACACATCACTAGAGATGGACAGAGTCCTCAGAGATATTTAGTTGAAATGGCTTCAGAATCCCCTGATTAGCCTTTTCCAACATCCTTGAATCTAGAAGATAGTAGACATTAAGTCTCAATACACCTTCATCCTTAAAATACTGTTAGAACAGTCTATACTGTTGTGGAAGACACAATGTTAACAGAACTTTGAAAAGTCAACACCTACCCGCATCTGCTTACATTGGAAGAAACACTAGCAGCCTAAGTGGATTAAGAAGTGAGACTGACTCAGCACATGGAGGTATCTTAAGAAATAATGAGAAATAATGTCCACAAGTCCTCTTTGTGTAGCCAAACTCTGTAGGCAGAACTTTGTATCAACAACATAGGATTCAACACTGCCTCACCAATTTGCCTCCAGCTGTGTCTCCTGCTCATTCCTTGCCCTGTCTCTCCTAATTCGAGTGACCTTTATAAAGAGGCATAGAGTGGTTCTCTTGCTCAATGCTACCCCCTTCCTCTGTGCCACTAATCACATGCTGCTTTTTTTCCTGTTTGAAAAGCTCTAGCACGCACTTAGCAAACCTTCAGCATAAAGTATCCCATTTTCTGAAGAAAAGGTGGCTGTTCCATTCGAGAAAGGCAGTGGCGTCTAAGGAGTGGTCCTCTTGCTCAGAACCGTTGTCTAGCCTCTTACATGGCAGCTGTAAATTTCCCTCAAGTAAATAGAGGAGTTGGTGAGTCACTGGTGTGAGTATTGATTTGAGATCAATCAGTCTTCTGAGCTGTTCCAAAGCAAATCTTTTCCCTTCACTCCCCAAATGGTAATTATGGTAATAGTGATAAGTAGCTAAAATTAATCAAATGGAATAAATACCATACAGTCTGACCAGGGATTGTTTTTTATTGACCTTCATAAATTATTCCCACTCTACAGATAAAAGAACTTGAACCTGAAGACTCGTAAGTAACTTGCCCAAGCAATGTGCCAAGGTAATAAATGAGAGGGTCAGTCAGGACTGAAGCTCATGTCCTGCATCAGTAAGCTGTACTGCTTGTAACTGATTGGCACCACTAGGCTCATGGCTATTGACTCAGTACTGGCTGTTCTGGACTCCACTAAGAAACCCTTCCACCTACAAGCATGCAGCATCAGTCTTCTGCCTGCTGCCTACAAGGAGACTTTGGTATTACAAAAAGGCTACAGTAGCCACCTGGGTATCAAATACTGCAAGTGTCCATGACAACACACTTGGAAGCTTTCTTGGTGGACCTTGACATGGTAACAAGCACTCATTTCTTTATTCCTTATGGGTCCTGAAAAAAATGAGGCTTCACTAGCACTGTCTGTTATTAATTGCCTTTCAAGAAGGGCTGGCTCCACAGACATCTTGAAGGTATAGCCTTATAATGTATTTATTAGTGCCAGCTAAAGGTCAAGCCTGATTCGGATAGTATTTTAATAGACTCTTTCTCAGCACTCCTTCGACCGTAACTTATTTCTTTCACTAGTCTCTCTTCCCCATTTCTTGGGAGAATTTGCAACTGTTGTATAGTTCTGAGGAAATTGAAAGCTTGCCAAAAATTGCAAAAGCTACACCAAAAAGCTGGTTCATATGGTTTTTAGGTCAGAAGAAAAAAAAAGGCATGCTTTTTTGGGGGGGGGGGGGCGCCTGGGAAAGATTATTGGTCTATGCGTGTTAAGCACGCAGTTGGCTCCATGGTTAAGGAACACGGGCTTGGGAATTTTTCAGGAAAGAGCACATGTGCATCATGCTTCTGGTTTTCCTGAAGTCTGTGGCTGAAGTTTTATGGTGTGAGCCCTTTGCATGCAATTCTCAATAATAGTCCCTATTCCAAAGGGACTAAGTAGGGCGGCTCACACACAGACTCAGATGTGCCATTCTAATACATTAGTATAGATTAGATGTGGGGAGGGTCATGAGTCACATAGGAACACAAGGAGATCATATCAGAGATAGTCCCAGTCTGTGCAGAGAGCAGCGTTTATTAAATACTGACTATAGGTGCTGCTGGCTTAAATGAAAAGGAAAAGGTATCAGTTAAGCTGCAGGAGTTGCGATCTGCTGGCTGAGTCTCATTTAGAGAAAGCGGACAGCTGGGCAGTGATTGAAGCGTCCAGCAGGGGGCTGGCATTCTCTGTCTATACGTGGTCCTGGCTCCTCTTCAGAGCTTCAGCTCAGGAGAGCTGCCGTTTGCTGAGGAAGCCAGTGACGTGCAAAGCATCCTGCCTATAGGATTGGAGGCTTTCTTGGTGCTGTTTTTTTTCTACCCACTTTAAACCTTCAGGTTCTACTTATCAGGGAAAACGGGAAATGCTGTGTGCAAATAGCAATCCAAAAGTTCTTAGTAAACTGCAGCCACAGGGACTCAGACTAGAATGAAGGTAGGAAGAGCTGGGACAGCTTGGGCTTAATCCTAAGATTTTCTTCGGGCTGAGTTTCTGTTGCTTGTTAACTCAGGGCATTTGCAGATAGATGTATTTCTCACTGGTGGTGTGGAGTCTTGGGCAGAACCAACATCAACGTTCTGAGCTAGATTTTGAAATACCAGTGTGTGTGCAGTTAGTGTTTTTATTAAAGGAGCTCAAGAGCCCAGCACAGATCTTGTCTAACTGCAAAAGCAGAAGTTAAGAAGCAGCATCTTGAAGGCACTTTCCTAGAGAGAAGTCTTGAGATGGCTCTGAATAATTGTTCCCACCTGGACCTGGAAGTGGATCCTTTCCTGCACTGCAACAACACCTTCAATCAAAGTCTGAACGGCCCCAAGATGGACAACTGGTTCTATCCAGGAATCATTTATGTCATTCCTGCTGTTTATGGGGTTATCATCGTGATAGGCCTAATTGGCAACATCACCTTGATCAAGATCTTCTGTACAGTCAAGTCCATGCGAAACGTACCAAACCTGTTCATCTCTAGCCTGGCTTTGGGAGACTTGCTGCTGTTGGTAACGTGTGCCCCTGTGGATGCCAGCAAGTACCTGGCTGACAGATGGCTATTTGGCAGGATCGGCTGCAAACTGATCCCATTTATACAGCTTACCTCAGTGGGGGTGTCTGTCTTCACACTTACGGCACTGTCCGCAGACAGGTAAGTACTGACTGGAAGTTAGTATCCTCTCTTGGGGTGGTGAACCACTCAGTGAATGACACAGGGGAGCAGTTTTCATGAAAGGGAAGTTTTATTCAAATTCATACTCCCTTCCAGGAATGTTTTTTTTCTGGAAATTACTACTGGAGTTTGGCATATTAGTTTAAGAAAAGAAAAATGAGTGAATAGTGGAGACAGGAGGAGACAAATGAGAATTAAATCTCTAAGCCTGAGACCAAAGGGCATTTTTTTCTGAAGAAAAATTATTGTCTATCCTGTCTTCTCCCTCCCTGAAAAATTAATTGAGCAGTGAAAAGGAAATCTCGCCCCATAGTTTCAACCTCAGGCTAATGTTTCTTAGAGGAAATTCAGAACCTTTCAGAAAAGAGAGACGTTCTCACTGCCCCTCCATAAAATCTTTGAGAAAGAAAATAGGCTCGGTTTCTTGGAACTTTATCTTCCTTGGACAGTCTTAACTTTTCTTACAGCTGATTTTTGGGTGTGACTGAATAGAACAATTGTGTGCTGATTTTTCAATGAATTTAAACACGCTTGCTCGCTTTGGCCTGGCTAAGCAAGTGTTCGAGGTTGACTTCTAATTTTAATAGTTTTGTTAATGTCCTTGTATGTTCAATATCTTTGGGGCTTGGTGGAGGTGGGTGCCCTCTTTATTCTGGAAAATGTACATCTTTGTGAACTTCATTGTGTGTGTGTATATATATGTATGTATATATATGATTTTATATTAACATAATCTTAAAACTTGTTCTCATGCATTTATCAAATATATACCATGTTAAAAAAAAGCCCATGTTTGAATGAGGAAGTAAAGAAATATTTGCAGGATATTCACACACATTGCTGACCATATCTTATGTTCTGAAGACTGAACACAGAAATGATTAGACTATCAGATACAGCATATGCTAAATGGCTAAATTAAGAACAACAGCTCCAGTGGACCAGAGACTATAAGTTGTTATCTTAATTCAACTATTTAGTATATGTTAAAGATACATAGGACATGAGTGTATCTTGGAAAAAGCATAGGCACAGTTCTTAAAAGTTCAGAATCTGAAGAAAATGGCCTACATCTTAATACATGTGGTGCCAGAGTCTCTTTTTGTAAAGGAACAAACTGTCCTCAGGTGAGCTGGCCTTGGTAAGTAATGGACAAATAAAGATAGTGTTATCAGCATTTGTGGCCATGTGTTTATCCTAAGCTACTTAAAGTACACTGCCCAGTACAGATGATATTCTCAGAGACTGAAAAGTAATGACCCAGAAATGGGGGTATTGTGTGGACTACACAGGGTTTCTCCACTCACCTTCATCTCGCTTGCACCCTGCCTTTTTGCCCTCCAGGTACTAATGACCACAGACACTTTTCTGTGTTTGTTCAGGGCCAGCAAACTTTGGAGTTGGCAGAAGCTCTGTGGCTGGTCCCCACTGGTGAAGGGCACGTCAGGCTGAGCATAATTTTCTTGATGGGAAGAAGAGATTTGGGTTTCCGGGCTGGTGAATGCAGTGGTCCAGATGGTGTTTACTGTCTCCTCGGGGAGGCGAACAGAGTGGAAAGGGAGGGCATGGAATGGAAAACTGCAGCTGCAGGGACCCTCTTCCCAGAGTTTCAGAGCAGACTGAGCTCGCCATCAGCAGTCAGGGAAAGCTCTGTGCAAAACTGAGTTGAATGCCACCGCAGCTGCAGTGTGTCCTCACTAACTTTTTGTATTTGGCTGTGCCTTGCAAAGGCTGATGGGTCACCAGAATTACAGGTGGTGCATGGCACTTTCTTCAACAAGAGTAAGAATTGTGTTTGATGATAACATAAGACTGTGCTTTTCTTTTTATCTTATGTTTGAAAACTATGAGATTCTTCCAACAGCCTTATGGACTTGGCAATGTAAATGTGAATTCTATGCTTTTCAATGTGTCTATGTACACAGTAAAGAGAGTAAGTTAACAGCTCAGTATTTTATATGTGTCTATGTAATGGTGTAGCCACTGCCCAGTTGAGATATTAAGGAGTTCAAGTACCTTGCCCATTTCTAGTTCATATTTCTACAGAGAATCAATTGCTGCTTTGATTTCATTCACCCAGTATTACTTATTGCATTCATATGGAATCATATAATGAACACAGCTTGTCTACCTTCTTGTGCTTGCCATAGTTCTGTGTTATTCATCCATGCTGGCGTGTTTAGCAGTGTTTTTGATTGTATGCCGGGTCACATTGAGAGAAAAGACCTCAGTTATCCTGATGAACAAGGGCTGAGAACTTTCTCTGGATATTCTATATTTTTGAGAATTTCATACAATATATTTTGATCATATTATTTGCCCTTCCCCCGACTCCTCCCAGATCCTCACACCTCCCTACTCAACCAACTTCATTTTCTTCTCTTTGAAAAAAAAACGAACAAACCAACAAGCAAAAGCATGTATATGCACGTGCGCGCACGCGCACACACACACACACACACACATACACACACACACACAAATAAACAAGCATGGGGTCCATTTTGTATTGGCCAACTGCTCCTGAGTGTGGGCTCTGCCTTGGAGTGTGATTGTTATACCAAGTACCACTCCATTGAAGAAAACTGATTTTTCCTTCCCTCAACAACTATCAATTGCAGATAGTTTCTTGCTTAGAGGTGGGACATCATATCTCTTGTTTGGCATAAGAATTCATTTCTTTTAGGTGTATGTTTAAGTCTGAGATGCTAAGTTATGAATGCATATATTTAGTAAATATTGGCAGTTTCCAAGTGAGCCTCCAGATTTGATAGCTTGGTAAAAGGGCCAATCAAGCTGTCCAATGTGGATGAGCATCATAACCAAAGGGGAACTTTGAAACCCTACAGAAGCCTAGGCCCCACCTGAGGGCACTGAAACAATGTTTCAGACATGTGAGTGGGACTCAAAGCAGTAGTCATCCTTGCCTGGCCACCATAGTTAGGAAGAAATGTCAGTGCTCATTGCAAACACCCTTCTGCAGCCTTCTCTATCCCCAATGAGCTTGTGTCTTTGTTACTAAGAAAAGAAGACTTTGCTAGAAAACTTTATACCACTGTCACCATCCCCAAAGGGAGGTTTCAAAGTAGTATCAGTGAATGGAATCCTAGGATTGCCACAGCCAACCAATTTCAGGTTCACATTCAATGTTGGTCCCTGTCTTCTCCTCCCTCCACTTGCACTCTCTGCCTCCACATATACACTGATGTCTTCATAAATGGTATTACATGGTCCCATTCCCCATTCTTGTTGAATCCACTCTTCAGAGTGCTTCCTCATTCCACAAATATACGGTTCCAATCCTCGTCCCCATGGCATAGGCTTGGTGGGCACCAACAGGCCTGCATTTTCGACATTTATCTGCTACTACTATCTGTATGGGGAACTTGGGCCAAGTTACTAAACTAACTCTCTGGTCTTGGTTTAACTACCTGTAAAATGGCAGGGAATTGTTATGGAGAGAGAGAGAGAGAGAGAGAGAGAGAGAGAGAGAGAGAGAGAGAGAGAGAGAGAGAGAGAGAGAGAGAGAGAGTTGTGTGCATGTGCATGCATGTGTGTGTGGAGGCCAATGGTCAATCTTAGGTGTCATTCCCCAGGAACTGTCCATCTTGTATTTTTTGAGACAGAGTCTCTCACTGGCTTAGAATTCACCAAGTAAGCTAGGCTGCTTGGACAAAAAGCCTGAGGTATCTTCCTGCCTTTGCTTTCTCAGCACTGGGAAGCTCCATAAAGTCCATATTCTCTATAACATTCAGGGTCAGTTCTACTTAGGAGTTGAAGAACTACAGTTTGGTTGATATTTGAGCAGTGAGTACACAATCCATTCAAGCGGCTAGCAGTAGAAGCAGTAATTTTTTAAGTTCCAACACTTGTTTGACATAGAAACCAAAAACACGTGATGGGATTTAGCCTTCAGGACAAATTTGGAGGAAAGTGAAACTAAAGCCTTACTCCCCTCACTGCAAGCCACAAATTCTTTAGCACAACTAGACACTTTAGCAACATTCAAAATACAGCCTAATTCCGTTTCCCTTCTCCTGACATTGGGAGCTACAGGCTCAAAATCAGGCTGTTCTAAAAGACAGTGCTGAGTGAGCCAAGGCAGAAGGGGTCTTTCTCCCTGGTCAGTTCAACAGGTCTTCAGCCATTATGCCCAACTATCTAGATTCTGAAGAGATTGATCTCTTTCCCATAAAAGAACACAATTTAGTTTCTTATGAAGCATCCTTCCAAAAAAGTGCCTCAGTTAGTGGAGGTTGGGTGGGCTGCTAGTTCTAAGTTCTACATAGTTTGGTTTTCAGAGGCACATGCTGACCAGAGGCATGTATCTGCCCACACAGTCACAGCAAATCAGCACTGCAGCCAACAGGGCCAGGTGCTACAGAAGTGGGCTTTCCCAGCCAGGCGTTCTCTCAACTGCAAAAAGGTGGAGGAGGAGAGAGAAGAGGGCAACAAGAACCTTCATCTTGTCTCTCACACATTATCTTTTCAAGTGTCAGGCTTTTATGTGATTAATTAAGTATCATTTCTGGCAACTTAATATGCATGAAGGCAAAAAAAGCACAAACTTCATCATGAAACACACAGCATCTCACGAAAGGGCTCCCTGGTGAGTTTTTTTGAACTGTGTCTGTCAATAACATCCTTTAAAAATAGACCAAATTTGCATTCTTGCACTTATAAATCTTCCTGGTGTGTGGGGTTGCATAAATTCCCTCTTAATTAAAACACGTGCTTTCAGAATAAAATGGAAAATGGAAGTTTTCCTCTTTTTCACTTCTGAGTAAAAACAAACAGGGATATCCAAGAGATATATATTTTCCACAGTAGCCGCCTTCTCTAAGAGACCTACCTTGGCTACTCAGTCCAGCAAACTGGCCAAAGCTATCCTATCAAACAGTTTATTTCTTTTTCAGGTTTATTGTAATGTAAGTTGTGTATAGTAAGTTCTCAGGGGGACACGTCTATGAACCTTGACA